TTTTTTTTTTTGGAAGGTTTTTCCTCTCCTGATGCTTCAAAGGTGCTGAAACCAAAGACACTGATGTCGGTAGCCAGAATGGAGGGGTGAGTTTGTTTCCAACGGTGAATTGCTAGCATATCGATGCCGAAAAGCGTTAGCAAACGGCTGCTAGTGCTAACTGTTTATGGTTAACTGAGCGGAGAGTAGCTCGCGCTCACTGTTAGCGGAATGGGGTCACCATATTTGTGTTAATGACTAACTGACTGTTAGCAGCCAGAAAAGCACCCAACTTGCTGACTTGCAAGGAGGAACGCCGCCCTCAGTGTTCGTACATCAGTGTGCTAATCTTACTTACGCCGCCGCCCCCAATCGTGACGCAGCTATTGCATCTCTTGTCGTCGCTTACTTATGACGTGGTCACCCATCTGCCCCTTCCCGGTTGTTAGCCTTCAACCAAAGGCCTCAAGTGGCCCGCTGACGCCCTCTGCAGGAGCAAGCAAACCTCTGCAGTTGCATTCCCAGCGTCCCTCCGGTCTCCCCACGCCGCTCAAACGCCGGGCGTCGGCCATTCCCGCGCCGACGCCCGGCAGCCAGAGCCGAAACTCCAGACCCCCCAGAACGCAGGCCGCCTCGGACTCGGACTGCCCCCCCAGGACCTGCCCCAGGTGACGATTTGACAGCCAATAGGAAAGTCGCGCCGGCAACTGATAGCGGATAGCCGCGCTGACGGTTGTTTTCTCTCCGCGTAGTCCCGCCCCCCTCGATTCTAATAGGGCAGTGCCTGTCGACGTGCAGCCCTTCTGTCTGGAGGAGGAGCCTCCCGCCGAGCCCAGCCAATCAGAGAGCCCGGAGGGCAAAGAGCCATCCCGTCGCGGCCAATCGGAGCCCAGCGAAGACCTCGTCCGGCCGGAGAGCGCCAAACGGGAGGTGGGCCCCGGGCCGGCCGGAACCACCTCGGACCACCTGACGTCGTCGACCGCTTGACTGTGCCTCCTTCCTTTAGGTTCTTTTGCTGGACCTTCCTGCTCCGATGCCCCCGACCCACGAGAAACTGCTCATCGACCTGAGAAACACTCCGGACTGGATCCGAAACGGCACCAAGAACTGTACCGCCATGCAGGTACAAACTACTTCCCGCTAACGGAAGTGAATCTCGCCGTATCTTCGCCGTTCACTTGTCTCTTCTTCCCT